CGTTCATTCACCCAGATTAATTTTCAAAAGGGAATAGCCGATACATTACATTAGTACAACACCCAAGTTCCATATGCTTCGGCTACGGTCCCAGTGATTACAGTGAACAAGGTTCACTTCAATTTGAATCGCGGTCCACATTGAGATTGCGCATGGCAATCCGTTCACAAAACATGCAGTCCAAAATTGACCCTCCACTTAGGCGACTTAACTTTCCCACTGCGACCAGCGTGCATCAGCTGCTGACGAAAAGCAGACCGAACTTGTGCTCAGGCGCATTTATAATGGTGATACACGAATATCTTAATAACTCCACAATTGTGAGTTTTGCCTGTTAGTGAAGCTTTCTTTAAAGTAGGTGTCTCATAAACACCATGCATTGAGACTTGTTGAATGGCATATTTCAAGTGCAGTATATTTATCTCTGTTGTGTTATTTTATCTTACCATTGTCAGAGTGCACATCAGAGCAGGTTTGTTGGGCTATTAATCTATGTGGCACTAGATGCACAGGCTAAGCCACGAAAATAAAACGATACTTTCGCACAGAAGTATGAGATCATAGTGTGCGTTTTAGACTCAGTTTGCTAAAAATTTATTGAACACAGTTAACTAATTATATGGTGATCTCAGACTACCGAGGTAAATAAGTCTTCCGTTACGCGGTCCACATATTATTCAGTTGAAAGACGAGGGCTACCGTTGCAAACGTCCGTTTTAAGTACAGATTACGTATGGTGTGTTGCGATTATACTTAATAAATTTAATTTCCCAGTAGTGTATGATGGGATAAAAAGCATGGCTGTACAAGCTTTAGAAGATGAATATACGCAATAATTTAAAATCAAAGTGTTCCAAGGTGGAATGTGAATTATCATTAGTCTAGACATTGCACTTTAGCACACTGATGAAATCTAATAGTCTGTCAAATGTCGCAATGCCTGGTGCCTTCACAACATGTGTTGGTAGTGCATTCCAGTGGGAACACAAGCTAGGGGGTGGGTAAAATTACTTCCTACAATCCAAACGACGGTGTTATGTTACTAGTTTCAGCTGGTGACCTGTGTATCGTCTGTAGGGGGATAGGGTCAGCATTACTGTACATGGATGCTTGCTATCAGTTAAAATCTGGTATGTGAGAATGAGGTCTTTGGGAAGCGGTCGGTATTCTGAGAAGAGCACATTGATTAAACGAAGCCGTAATTCATAACTGAGATCGGATACTCCACGTGCTGCAGTGGTGGCTTTCTTTGGTATTGCTACATAATGAAAGGTCCCCTTTTAATCATGGACACCAGACATGGCGCGTGTTCAGCGTGGGTACGAATATACGAGTTAACCAGCAGTGTTACTAGCCGCCGCTCAAAGTCGCCGAGCGTTTGCCTCAAAGGCCACAAATTTCAAATTCGCCACACTTGCTGCTTTCGAACATTGGAACGAATCGCCAAGACTTTCTTGCACGATGATACCTAAATTGCGTTCACTAGTCACCTGTTGCAGAACTTGTTGCCTCAAAGGATATGTGTTGATGAAGTTGCTACGCACCGTCAGCAGGTGACAATTTGCAGGAATCAGTGGGAGCTGGTTCCATTCTGCCCATTCTTTACATCAGTTCAGATCATTCTGAAGATATGTATGATGGGATAGTGAGTGGATTGGTATTCACATTTTACCATCATCTGTAAATATTTTGATCGGGGATAGAATATGCGTTGGCAGGTGTTTTACGTAGACCACAAACAATAGTGGACCAACGACAGATCCTAGCAGTACACCACTGGAAACACACAGGCTTTCAAAGTGAGGGCCGGATATTCTTACCTTGATTGCTCTGTCACGCAAGTAACCTTCCAAAGAAGTGAGCAGAGAACCGCTTATATCGTGGGCGGCAAACTTGTGGATGAGACTAAATAGTTTGACTTCGTCAAAATCTTTAGAGATGTCTAAGTACATCACATTTATGGAGACTCCCTCAGCATGTGCGCTAGTCCATAAATCCCTAGCAAGGACAGGATTTGTGAAACAAGATCGTTTGCGTCCGAAACCATGTTAGGCACTGGGAATTATATGCAGAATTTCAAAATATCGTGTCCCTTTATCAGTGATTGTTGACTCCATTAATTTTGATAACTCAGGAGGGCGAGTAATAGATCGGTAGTTGTCAAGTTCCAATCGCTTACCTCCTTTGTGTATCAGAGCCATGATTCCATTTTTCCTCTCAGATTGGAGAGTATTGGAGTCAAAAAGTCCCAGGAAAAGGCTGCAAAAGCCTTTGCTGTGGTAGCAGCAGGGATTTTAATTCTCTCTGGGCAGATCTTTTTGATATCTAGGGCACCGTTTTCCAGGAGAGTGCTCGATTTGTTTGTGACAGCTGAGGAGTAACGTGACACTGGATAATCCGAAGACATTTGCTGGAAGTCGATAAGTCGAGGTTTCGTGGTATTCGTGCGCACTAAGCCAAAGTGCAGGAGTAGACATTTCGCGGTATGGACAGCATTACTCGTCAGGCCGAATGCCGTTTTGAGTGGGAGAACTCCAGGCTTAACCATTATTTTACTCATTTCTAAATGGATAGTTTAGTTGAGTCTTTGTAGACTTAAACACAACTCGGAGATGTACTTACCCGGGAATTCAGGAAAATATACTCCCCGGTTTTATGTTAGTCAAATTTATGGGGAGTCTGAAGTTCGTTTTGTAATAGAGACATTTAGCGTGCGGGTTAATGCAGTTGCTTTTTAGATAATTCAGTTTGGTGAGTGGACTTACTGAGGTTTAGACGGTCAGTTATGTGGGTAGATAGACTTGATAAGTCCAAGGTTTAGTTCCTTGCTGAACTTTATGTGGCCCTTGTGCAAAGCGAACTACGAAATGTTTATTAAAGCAAGATAATTGTATAGCATAACTGTTTCGTAGTAAAGGAAAACTTGCGGAGTCCACAGTTTGTGTCGATGCTTACTGAAGTGAATTCTTCTCCCTCTAGACATTCACCAAAGTTGGGCTTGCTGAAGGACCACGACGGTGCTGTTTCATTGAGTAATTCAGTAGAGAGGCTGATATTACAATATCGTATCGCTGTTCCATGTTTTCGTACTCCGCTGATATAATAAGGGCAGGGTAGCCTCGCGATCTGGTTAGCCGGCGTGGCGGGCCAGCACATAGTTGAGTCGAAATCCGACAGACAATGTGTCTTCTTCATTGTCGTATTTGAATCTATATAAAATACATGAAAATACGGATCCGTTTACTCTGATAAACTACTTTCCGTTCCGGTTACTTGCTTTGTGGTCCACGACACACTTGGTACTGTTGTGGCAACGGCAATACCACAATGTTTCTTTTACGTATGGCGCAAACTACAGAGTCCTATTGTCAGCTAGTTACGTAACGGTCAATTCGTCAAGTATACCACTTTGCTCATGAACCTTGATTACCTAGGACTGAATAGGTGTTTGATAAGCATGGAACCTGAGTTGAACATAATAAGCTCGTTTTAATCCGGACAATTTTGTATTTGTTAATCTAAATATATGGTGGGGACTTAGGGTTTTTAGTAGGTTGGCGTAATAAAGACATTGTTCAGCATTTTAAACTAACATCCCTTACTTTTTTTGTTCGTCGCAATCAGCCGACAATTCAGATATGTCGACCAGCTGTCCGGAAAAGCACCAGACGGCCGTTTCGTCCTCCATGGCGCAGTTGCATAAGCTGCGGGCTAGTTGGCAAGAGCCACTAGCAGTCATGGGTTCGATCCTCCGCAGAGGACCGAAGGATGCGCACCACTGATGAGCCCCAATAGGGCGAAACGGCCGTCTGGTGCTTTTCCGGACAGCTGGTCGACATATCTGAATTGTCGGCTGATTGCGACGAACAAAAATACTCATCAAAATCCTTCCATTCATAAGTAATACCAATTCGCCCGTACGGATTCCACAAAATGCTATGTCGATTCATAGCTGCCGTAACCGGGAAGTCCTGACGCCGGAAGGCCGACCGCTGTCATCTGCATGGCAGGTGCCTGCATGGCAGTGGAGGATGCGTCGGGCTATATCGCATTTAGCCAACAATTCACGATAGTCAGATACCGTCCTCCATGGCGCAGTTGCATAAGCTGCGGGCTAGGTGGCAAGAGCCACTAGCAGTCATGGGTTCGATCCTCCGCAGAGGACCGAAGGATGCGCACCACTGATGAGCCCCAATAGGGCGAAACGGCCGTCTGGTGCTTTTCCGGACAGCTGGTCGACATATCTGAATTGTCGGCTGATTGCGACGAACAAAAATACTCATCAAAATCCTTCCATTCATAAGTAATAACATCCCTTACGTTGTTGAGACCACAGGACATTAGACCTATTTTGCGTGTAGTGTTATGAGATAGCAAGACCGAATACCCTCCAATGCTTTGGATTGTCTTCCATGTAAATCTGTAGGAGGGACCCATTGAACTTTTTAGGCTAGCTCATAACGTGCATCTCGCTTCATCCAATGTTTTTTATGAGTAATGTAGCTGGCTTCCATATTGTGTGAAACAGATTTTCCAACTGACCATCTGAATAAATATGTAAATTATGTTGAACAGATGCCACAAATGTGTAAACTAATCTGACACATATGTGATGTAACTGCATACTGGAATAGCCTAGAAAACTTAATTTTTGCTGTGTATGTATCAGGACGCTGTCAGTGAGCAGTTACTTCTATGGGATTGCAACTCAATTCTCTGGAGATGGCAGAGTAACCGCATCTTTTTGAAAAGTCGCTCAAAATTTGCTGACTGCAAATACTAGCTAAAATAGCGGAACAGTGAGAAATGGACAAGTCTGTTTATTCTGCAGTTTTGGACTTCTGAGTATTTCCTCACTATGTTGGCTATGTATTGCCTTGATCATGACTTACGTTAATGTGGATTCAGTTTATTCGATTTTGAAATAAACCAGCTAGTTTCACGTCGCCAGTACTTTCTTTTCCCAATCAAAATGAATTAAAGCCGGTGATAGCACTTACCATCTGCTGTTCTGTTGCTGATGCAGTCCTGTTCGACTTTCCAAATAATCCGCGCGCTTTCTTCCTCAGATATTACATAGATATCAGAGTTCACCTGCATAGTTTAAAATTTGCGATGGTATATGTAAGAAAACAACCTGTAAAACGGCATGAAAAACATATTTCTAAAATTCTAATTGATAATATAGAAGGGAAGAAAATCTTGTTCACTAATTTAGCGGCTCGGTTTATGCTTTTCAGGGTCAGTTTATGTATATTTTTATTGTAACTATAGCTTACGCTTTTAGCATGTAAACAAACCAAGCAATTTTATGTTCAGCTATTTTTCACACGACAATTTTTATGTGAAATGATTTTATAGTGCATTTAAATCTTTCACCATTAAATGACTGCGGGTTGTTACTTGGACACAGAGTGACTGTTATCATTCATACTCCAGATTGGCATCGAGAGGTCAGAAAAAATATTCTCTTACAGTTTATTATAGCCGTAATTTGATATCATTGGTAAATGCTTGCTAAACTGTTTTAAGGGAGACCACTTCATATCCAGCAGTTTGCATTATAATTTATTCTCATAATGTAAGCAACCTTGGATGTTTCACATGGTGTTCTAAAAGCTTCTAGTTATCCTTTATAAACTCCGTGGACCAACGTTTATTTCGCATGAAAAAGCAAACAGGAACAACCAATGTAAAAAAGATATGTTTCTCCTACCAACCATTCGGGAAAGAATGTGCACGTACTTTAAATGAAAACGTTCTACTTCTCTGCCCTTAAATTATACGCCTATCTTTAACAAAGGCATCGTGCAAAGAAATGTACAATGGAATAGTCACACACATGTAATACAAGTAATGATTATGCTAATCCCAATGGGGAAAATCACGCATCGTTACTACGTTTAACTGACCTGGGAAGCTGAGCACAAAGATGCGTGTAGGTTGATCGGTCGCGGGGTTATCCGATCTACAGAATCAAAGCTAAGTTGCATTCTCCCTCTCAGCACGAGTTTAAAACAAACTTCTGCACGTCATCTTCGGCATGATGACAATACCCACTAGATATCTATTGCTTACAATTATGAATCCAGATGATAAGTTTTCCTGAAATAAAAAGCTGTTTTTCCTACTTTTTCTTGACCTTGAGTACAACGGCTACTTTGAACACTTCTAACACACTGTTTCACTACTGAGTTTGGCACAATTAGGGGATGAAACAAACGACTTACTTATAATGTTTAGGTAACTGTTCTCCAACAAGCTTTATCGGTGATAAAAATGCAGTGTAATTCTTGTAATTTCGATGTGTACATTCAGGAAAGTAACAAACGAGATGTCTTTTGTGGGAAGTGTTGGCAAGCAATTCAAGGTATCACATCCCTTCCATACTCCCTATATTTGCTCAGAAAAGCCATCTACCATGCTCTTGCTGATCAAATGTCGCTGTAAATAAGCAGCGTTATACAACTCAATCATTAAGCCTCGTGTAGTAGTCTTTTCTGCTATTTTCTATCAGGTGTCAAATGTGCAATAATAGTTTACCAGGTTGGGATGTTTGTTAAGGTGTAACAGGATTGCTTATTATCACGCTATTTGTGACATTCAGTAGTATATTCCCAAAGCCTTTCTGAGTAGTTTTAGTTGAATTGTAGAATTACGGGCTAAAAGATTAATGGAGCTCAGTATTAAGAGCGGATAGCACGCAATTTTTGTTTGTTTTAGTTATGGTCCCAACGATTTAACGGCGTACGCTCCAACTGAAAATGAATAACTAGCCCTATATGCCTTGATGAGCGTTTTGCTTACAGCTCAGAAACCTAGTACTAAAATTGAGTGCTGACAATTCCTGCGTCTTTATATCTGAACTTAGCCAACCGTAACTCCTGGAGCATCCAAGCAGATCGTAGAATGAATTGCTGGCTGTGAGCAACACTTCGGATCTAACCTTCGCTTTAAAATAACATTACCTTTTTGAAATGCAATAAATTAATCAATCAGTGAAACTTAGCTGTTTCTTGCTTGATTTGGTGCTTGTATGTTTTGGAAGTAAGTTAACTTTCTTGGTTGTGAGCCAAGGATACAATAAACTTGGAACTGATAAGTGTTCCGTACTATGATTGTATTGTAAATAAATTTTTCATTTTTTGACGGAAACAAATAATGTGGTGATTTGAACAGAGGTAACATTATTAATTGTATTTTACAATCATACAACTAAACGTAAATTGTCATATAGCTGGAATAGCGGGCGCCCTCTATGTAATGTAATCCTTACAAGACGTGGCAACGCCACTTCGAGTCAGAGTTGTACTTGCGATCACCGGGGGTTCCCATGCCATACGTCACTGAGCGCATAAATTGTGTAAGCAGCTTTATTGATCGTATTCCCTATACCGGATGGATTTAAATGCTGAGCAGCAGATGTACAATGAAGCAGAGCATTTCGTCTCCCACATCAATTAACAGTGTCTAGAGACCATTTCAGCAGGTATAAAAGTGAGGTATCTATTGCATTCGGCAAGTAACCAAATACCACAATACGATTGACTAAACATTCACGCATGATTCCATAACTAATTTTTAGTAATTATGTAACGTAAGGATGGCATTACTTAGAGAAACAGAAGCATAGACTTGGTGAGCAGCAGATCTGTTGTATTTGCGGGGACAAATGGCGACTTTACAAATGGTAAAGACTGGTATAGTATATATCATATATCACTTTGCAAACGAATTGAAGCCTAGCAGTGCGATGCACCAGTTGCCAATACTAAATGCATTCCTGGTAGTTGGAATGTCATCATTTTCTGAATGGTTAGTGTCAGTTTACAAATTCTGGTCAATCAGTAAGAGTGAAATGCGCAATAGTTATCTAGGGTCAACAACACTTTTACAGAAGCAAAGGAGACCGCGATGTTGCCAGGATTATTTCGTAACACGATAGCTTATTTATCTGAGTTATTTTACTTTGCATAAGAAATGTTCTATAGTTCACATCATCCTTCAACCCTATTCATGACTTGAAAGCGAAACGAATCAAGAAACTGCATAACATCCAAAAAATCTGCAGATATGCCATAGTAACTGATTGGAGTAGCATTTTTACCATTTGTGATGTGTATTTACTAAAATAGACGGTTCCAGGCTGCTACTTGAAAAGTGATTGAGTATACTCTTAATGCGCATCACGTACTTCGCCTGCCCTATCTCTTATGACAAAGTGCAAGCTAATGAACTTCCGTTTATTATGCTTAAGTAGTTGCTGCTGGCACAGGTAAAAGGAACTCGAACTGTGGATTGCTCTTTTGAATACCTGGAATTGTTTATGAACGGTACCATCGCTGGTCACATGCTGTCATTCTCATTCAGCGGATCTACTGATCCGCATGCATATAGTTGAAAGATATAGGCATGAAACTAACTGGGCTACACATGAGCGGGTTGTATTCAACAGATTCAGTTAGCATAGGCTTAAAGAGTATCACTTGGATTAAATCGTTCTGGTACCCACTCAGTCTGCAAGCTTTGGCAAGTCTGGCAAAGCACCAGACAGTGCTGTTTCGATTTTCTTTGTCTCGTCAGTGGTGCACCTTCCTCCGATCCCTGCAAGGTTCCGAATCCATGACTTCCGGATGCCAGCAGGCAGTGCCAATAAGCCAAGAGTATAGACCGCAGATGTGCATGACTGACGGTTGAATTTGATATACCCCGACTTCTCTGCCACTACCATGACAGCTGCGAACTGTACAATGGACTGTAGTTCGTCCCAACGTCAAAGAACTTTCCGAAAGATATTACTATTAGCGGATATACGGACGGATCTTTTGGTTACTAACGAGTAGTGGGGATTTTTCTATAAGTTCGGAAGCAGTCCATCGCGGTACCAATTAGTCAGCAAGCTTTGACACTTCTGGAAAAGCACCATACAGTGACATTTCGACTTCGTAGGTTTGAGCAGTGGTGCGCCTTCCTCAAACCCAGGCCAGGTTCCGACTCTAAGACTTCCCGATGCTAGCAGATAGAGCAACTAAGCCATGAGTGACGGCCGCGGACCTGCAAGACTGATAGTTGACTACGATATTACCCTGGTCACCTTTCACTGCAATGAGTGTGGTGAACTGTACGGATGCCAGTATTTTGCCCCATAAGGTGGATAGTAGAGGGTGCGGCTGCTCCATGTTCTTATTACATGTGATAATAATGAAAATGTGTCAGATGTAAGCCATAACGGCGCTTCGCTGCCGCGCAACCACCACCAGTCGCGCGCGGGATGATTGTACCACGAGGACGCCCAACCCGACGCGGATTCGAACCGGTAACCCTATGGTTGCAAAGCAAACGTGCAAACCACTCGGCCACAAGCCTAGTAGGCAAGTAAAATTATGCTGAATATGGAAAATTGCCGCGAAATTTTGTGTCTCCTCTTGATGAGATTGCCTTTAAGTCTTAAAAATGATCTATTGACATTTGATTCCATATGAGAAAAATCCTTCGGGCTGACAGTTGGACGGACATCCAATGAAGTTATGATGCGTGTGTTAAGTATTTTAGTGATAAATCATGTAAACCTTCATGCGGGTAATGTGTTTCATAATCGCTGTGGGTTTATTCGTAGGTAGTCACACTGACAGTATTCAAGCCGATTAAGCCTCCTTCGCTTCCATAATTCTTTCACTGCAAAATGGCAACAATACATTCACTTGGCTATATCTCACTGTAAGGTTATGGATGTACTTAATGATGTTACACAAAATAATGGCTGCATGACGTTTCCAACTGATTGAGAAGCAGCAAGGGAAGAACAAAAATCCTCCAAAGACACAGCAGTGGAAGACATCGGAAACCTCTTCATTAAAGCTTCTCAAGTAGACTAATCGGTGGTCTTACAAATATAGCATGGGTAATGGGCGGTGTTACATGGTGTCTGAATTTCATGTTTTATTATGTAAGTGAAAAACTTCCTTATATAAGTTTGAACAGGGTACTTGCAAACCGACTAAAGCAAGAGTGCAGTAGCTGAAAATGGTTCATTTTTGCTCAGTCCATTCTGAATAGGGAACAAACAACTCCATCTTTTGCAGATTTGTAAACAA